TGTAATATATAGTTATTGAGTTTAAGATATTGGTATTTGAATAAGGTACTGTACTTGTTAATTAAATCACCACTTGGTGCTCTGCATTGCATTCTGTTGTGCTGTAGTGCATAGTGATATTTCTCAGCAGAGTCAAAACAGCAAGCTGACAAGAAAGTGCAATTAATAACAATAACAAAAAAGCAGTACTATTCATTTATTTTTGTTGTTGTTGTAAAAAAAAGACACTATTCAAAAATTTATGAAGTAAATTTTCTTAATCTTACAATCAAATACAGGTATACCTCGCCTTACGTCAATAATTTGTTCCAAGAGAGGCAACTTAAGTCAAATTTACTTGTCACTAAGCTAAACCACAAATAACCATTCCCAGCTCTGTATTTTATTTATAAATGCATTTTTAATAATATATGGTTAATAAGAAACTATTGTAAGCTTACAAACAAATAAATTTTAGTTTTTAATTAATATAGTACAGGAAAAAAGTAATCTAAATTTATGAATACATGTACGTACATACTTGTAAATATACATGTTTACAATTTGACGATGTTTAAAGTACATCACAGACTCTTTATTTGTGAATGTGGTTTGCTCTAAGACATTATAAAATAAGATGATTTTGTAAGGTTATTAAATAACAAATGCAGTTATTAATTATTAAAATTATTTTGTGATAGTAGAAAATAAACTAATTTATGTTAAATTTACCAATATTGAGTGGCATTGATGACAATCCCAAATGGTAGATATTGGAACTACTGTGGAAAATGTCAATATTGAGCTCTTAAAGACCACTAAATAAGACAATGACACAGAGTCACAGATGTTTTCGTTTTCATATTTTGTTCTCTTTGATTTATGATGATTATATTAACATTTACTGTAAATGTATGTATTTTAATATGATTTTATATGCTTTTAACACTTTTCTAGTGATATTACGACTTCAGTATTTGTGGTGGACAGATGTAAAGTCAAATAAAATCACTTAAACTTGATTTTTATTGACAAATGACATATAATTGAGAATGACTTAACTTGAAACGACATAACCTGCAGTATACCTGTACTTTTTTGTTAATTTAGTTATGTTAAAGCACACTATTTGAAAAATCAAAAGCAAAATTCATTTCAAAATTAAACAAAGTGAGCATTCTGAAAACTTACAATTAAGTAACTTTTTAAAAAATTTTGTTACATTAAACTATTAAATTGTTGTTCAGTTAGTGATCAGTATAAGTAATTCTTTTTGTCTTTCTCTTAGAAAAACAATTCGCATGTAAAAATTTCAGTCAGAACTTAAATGACAACAATAGTATTCCTTTTGTCTAACTGAGAGTCCACGTACAAGAAGGGCACAAGGAGCCTCATTCCTTAAATGACAACAATTTGAAAAATTGTTACTTACAAAATTCAAATAAAAAAAAATGACAAAACTAAAGTCTTTTGTCTGTGCATCTGTGTATTAGTTGGCACACAAAAAATGCATCTTCAAATTACTTTGTCACAACTCTAACTTCTTTAATACAATTAGCATAACTACATTTTATTATCTTTTTTGAAAAAAAATGTTGGAATTGAAATATACCTGTTCATATTCTTGCATAATATGAACACAATGTTATTTCTTATACAATTTGAATACATTGAACAAATATGTCATTCTCCTCAATAGTGCTTCTAATGTGAAATTCTGAACTAATGGACTAATTTGCATGCCAACATATAACAGTGGATTATTGCATAATAAATTTTTTATTAAAAAAATTAATGCTAATATTAAAAATCAAAAATAAGTGGTTAAAATTTTAGAAACGAATAATTCTTACTTAGCTTTTAATTTGCATATGCTTAAAAAATCTCATTTGAAAACATAATGCAATTAGCCTTAGTTGTTTCGTATGCAATGCAACAGCTTGTGACATAGCAATACACAATGCAGTGATATTAATTAATAAGTAACAAATAATGTTTATTATTTTATAAAGAAAAATAACAAAATAAAAATTATTAAAATTATAGTTTAAATTTGTCATTTAATTATATATAATGATAAGCAGTTTTACCCTTAAAATTTGATATGAACAAATATGTTCATATTAATTCTTAGGTTACTAATTTATATTTTTTAAATAATTAAATTTAAAAGTAACTTTGATCCTTTATTATTTAAATATAGCACATTAGATTGTTTTTATTACATAATATCCTATGTATTCATCATATAGGCTGTGATTGGC